TCACCATTTTATAGAAATTAACTACATGTTTCCCATCTGTAGTTTCTCAGAAGGTCTAAGGGATGTTTGAATCATTGTCCTAAATCTTTGCATACCTCTGGGATGCACACCTCTGCCACCTTTGTCTCTCAGTGTGAAGCATGACTCAACTTAGGTCACTGGTCAGAGTACAATATTTGATATTTTTCTTTATAACCTGAATTTTACCTACTAAATGTAATCTTTGCATATTGATTCCTCAAAATGAAAATGAAGGGACTAAATGAAAATATTTGTTAGAAATTTGTCATATTGAGTGACGTTTTAGTATGGGAAGTTCCATCATCAATATGAATTTTACTATGTCTCACAGAGGTCAGCAAATAAAATTACTACATGAATACCAAAAAAATAAAAGTGAACTTTTAACGCTTAGCAGACATTCATTCCTTAGAATTATATGATTAGAAAAGAAACAAAGGTTATGTCCAAAGGTAAATCCTCGAAGGTGGGAAAAGGTATAAATATTAATGGAAATGAGTATTAGAGGAGAATTATAGTGAAATAAGTGTGATTACATTTTAGGTATTGTAATAAATGTTGTAAAACAAAATATGCAATAATGATTGAAAAATCAATGTTGTTTGTGAATTTTCACTCACATATCTCTCTTTCTCACACACACATACACACGAATTTTTTTTATGGAACACATAAAGATCAAATCTTTATTGTTTGGTTCACCAAGTCAGAACTAACCATAGCTGATCATCCAGCAGCTTTCAGGGCCCTAAATCACACAGGAGGAGATTGTCCATCTTTCTCCTATGGAGCAGCTGGTGGATTCAAGCCATGTGTCTTTGGACTGGCAATGCATCTCCTTACCACTAGACCACCAGTGTTCCCGTTAATGAGCTGTAATTGACTACTATTGGCCACAAAGAATCAGATACTTGTGTAGTTTATTAATCCAGGAGTGACAGAAAAATAGGGGAATGGTGTTCCACTAATTCACAAAAACCCCCACAACATTTCAAGATCTGTCCTGCAGTACGATGCTGTCAGTGATAGGCTATGATCGCTCACCTTATGAGATGTGAGATGCCATCAAGGACATTATATAAGAAGAAAACAAAAGGTCAGAAAAACAAATAAAATAGCAAAATAGATTTCAGAAGACACACTGAGACATGAATATAAAGACTACAGAAAATAAAATGAAAGAAAAAGAGATTATAAAATAAGAGAGCTGAACAGAAGATTAAAAAGGATGCTTTGAGAAGACAAAGTATTAAAAGACCTGATGTTAGAAAATCATAAGGGAAGAATACACTCAGTGTTTCTCAGCCTGAGAGAATTGAAGAGAAAGTTCAAACCTTGGTTTGTAATACCAAAGGACTCCATGTGCAAAATATTGAATATTAGGAAGCCTCAAAAGAAGAGAGAAGGAACACACAGAGTCACTACCAGAAAGAGTTGTTGACACTGAACCATTTCAAGAAGTAACATATGATTCAAACCAGTGGTGCTGCAGGAAGAAATCCATTCTACACAGAAGGCATCAACAAAAACAAAAAAGCCTCCAAGACTTTTTCTTCTACCAGTTGAGGTGTTTCAGTAAACAGATGTCATCCTGGAAACACATGTGAATGCCAAGAAATTTGCAAGACAGCTACTTAGCTCACTCTGAAGAACAGACCCATATTTGTTCCCATTCCAAATGAAAAAGTAATGTAATATATTGTGAACATTATAAAAATTGTGAACATTATAAAAATTATCATTAAATATTATACATAAGTAAAATATTTCTGAAGATTATTATAAACAGCTGAAACAGTTTATTGGACCAAGAAAGAATTGATAGGAGTGGAGTGAATAAAAAGAAAAAAACAACAACAAAAATCCCCAACAAAATACTATACTGACAAGGAATTCAAGCAGGAATCAGAAGAAGCTGTGGAACAAATTATATCACTGCTGTTATCAATTTAGTTCTTGCCTCACAGCAGAGGATACCAGAAGATATTTATTTGCGTTTTATTGACTATGCGAAGACATTTAACAATTTGATCATAATAAGTTATGGCTGACATTGAGAAGAATGGGAATTCTAGAAAACTTAACTGTGCTCATGTAGATCCTATACATACAAGAAGCACTTGTGAGAATTTAACAGGAAATTGTTTAAATCATGAGAGGTGTGTGTTAGGGTTGTATCCTTTTACCCAATCCAACTCTATCTTTGGATTTCTGAGGTTGTAAATCTTCCAGAGCTCTTTGGTGTCATACCTATTCAGTCTGTACAAGCTGAGCAAATAATCTAAGAAATTAGATTCTATTAATAAGAATATGGCATTGGGATTGAAGAAAAATTCATTAAAAACCTGCAATGTGCATGAGACAACTTTGTAGAAAACAAAGATTTGAAGCACTAAATGAAGGTGAAACACTATATTCTTCAGTATGAATTATATCTCACCATAAAACAAAAATTCTTACTACTGGATGACAACATGAAAAAGGGAGGGGAGAGAATTAAACTTTCAAGGAATTCATTTTACTTATAGCCACAATCAATATTCCTGGTAGCAGCAGTCAAGTAATTAAATGATATGTTCCATTGGGCATATCTACCTTCAAGAATCTCTTTAAATTACTAAAGAAGTAAGATGTTACATTCAAGGGGGGGGGAAGAAGAACAAACTGGGGAGGAGGGTAGAGAAAACAGTGCAACTATGAATGAATGAAAACCCAAAATCTCTGTAAATGTTCATTAAAACTAATAAAATAAAAAAAAGGAAGTAAGATGTTCTTTTAAAGTCAAAGGTGCAACTGATCAGAACATGGTATTTTCAACTGCTTTGTATACATTGGACAGTGAATAAAAGAAGATCAAGAAGAATAAATGCCTTTGACTTGTGGTGTTGGAGAAGAGTATTGAATATTACATGGACTGCCAAAAGCACAAATCTGTCTTGGAGGAAGTGCAACCAAAGTGGTTCTTAGAGGCAGAGATGATGAAATTTTACCTCACCTACTTTGAGTATTGAATATACCATGGACTGGTAGGAAAACAAACAGGTTTATCCTGCAGAAGGTGAAGCTAGAATGCTCCTTGGAGGCAAGGATTCTGGGGCTTCGTCTGACATACTTTGGACATGTTACAGGGAGGGACCAGTCCTTGGAGAGGGACATCATGCTTGGAAGGGTGGAGGGACAGCACAGGAGAGGATTGATTCAGTGACTGATGTAATGGGATAGGCGTTTCAGAGATGGTGAGATTGGCACAGGATAGGGCAGAGTTTAGGGCTCTTGTACATAGGGTCACTATGATTTGCAGGTGACTCCATGGCACATAAAAGAAATCAACAATTTTGGGTATGTTATCATAACAAGGGATCAATCCTTTGAAAAAGACATTATGCTGGGAAAGGTATGGAATCAATGAAAGAAGATGACCCTCAATGAGATGTCTTGATATGTAATGACTGTAATCATGGCCTCAAGCGTGGCAGAGATTGGGAGGATAATGCAGGTATGGACAAAATTCTGTCAGAACAACAGCATCTGTCATTCAAGGATGGTTATGAGTCATAGTCCACTTGATGACGCCTAACAGCAACAATATATGCACGTGAAAGTTGGACAACGAATAAAGAAGACTGAAGAAGAATTGATGCCTTTGAGTCTTCGTGTTGCCCAAGAATAAGGAATATGCTATGAACTGTCAAAAAATCCAAACAACACCACCTTGAAACAAATGCAGCATAGTGTCCCTTAGAAGGAATGTTGTCAGGAAGGGCCAGTTTTTGGGGAGGGACATCTTACTTGGAAAAGGAGAGAGTTGGTGAAGGTGAGAAAACCTTCAAAGAGATTAATTGTCATGGTGACTCCAACAATGGGCTCCAGCACAACACAGATTGTGAGTATGGCACAGGATCTGGCATGTCTTTTTTCTGCTTACATCAGGGCACTCACTATGAGCCCACTTGGGAGCATCTAACAATAACAAATTACAAAACTAATGACACCCATTAGTCTCAACAGGGAGAGACAGAAGGCATGCCTATGTGAAAGGAAACTAGCCAAGAATTCCCTTTATTATTACTTTTAATTAATATTGTATTGACACTGATGTGTCAAATGTGATAATGATTACTCAGGGTGGACAGTGTTTGGTGGAGCTCCCTGATTAAAACAAGCTTGGAAGCAGGAGTGGCATCCACTTCCATAATAGCTTGTCTCCGGAAACCCTATGAACCTGGAGAAAGGATGGAAGTCACACAAGAGTTGAGGACTTTCGTTCATAGAGTCACTATGAGTCGCCTGTGACTCCACTTGACAACAACATTGGAATATTGCAAGAAAATAGAAAAGATATCTAAATTGCTTCCTCAAAAGAGGAAGTAAAACTATCTGTAGATGATATGAACCTACATCTACAAAATTCTCAACAGTACCACCAACAGCAAAAACAATACTACAATGAACATAGAGTCTTCTGTAACACTTCAAATTATTTTCCTCAAGGAAGATTTTCGAAGATGTATTATCATTTGTTGTTGCAAGTTACTACTGAGTCAATTCCTACTCAGAGTGACCCCAATTGTTGTAAAATACAAGAGCTCCATGAGATTTTAAAAGCCATAGTAAGGAGTTAGGTTGCCAACCCAAGAGCACATGGTTCAAATCCACCAGCTGCTCCATGGAACAAAGATGGGCAATCTCCTCCTGTGTGATAATGTCCTCTGAAAACTTGCTGGAGGGTCAGCCTTTGGATCAGGTCTGACTCGATGGTACATAACAACCACCCCTGCACAGCAGTTGGAGCTTGTTGCAGACCTTCTGTTATTCTGGGCCCCATGCAACACTAGTTGCTTTCAAGTCACTTGATAAATAAGCTATCACAACACAGCCAGATGACATATGTGTTGCCACCAGGCATTGTGCCTACTATTTAGTTGTGAGAGGAGGCAAGAATATTAATTCACCCTTCTCTTAAGATGGAATATTGAAACATGTCCCACTCCATTGGACCCCTGGAAATTTCTGAGGTCAAAGGTACTTGGATTTGTGTTGGGTTAATCTCCCACTCTCTAACATGCAAATGTCTTACCAGTAAGCCTAGGGTCACTGTTACTATTTCTTTACTAGGTCCAATCAGCATAATGTCATCAGTGTAATGGATCAGAGTGACAACTCATGGAAGAGGAAGGTGAGCAAGGCCCCTTTGGACTAATTATTTCATATTGCTGAAGAGTTAAGTGTTGAAAATATATTGCTTGCCTTGTCAACTGAAGGCAAACTGCTTCTGATGATCCTTTGAAATCAGAATGGGGGGGGGGCGGGGCGGAGCACTGGTCAGAGCAATAGCTGCATACCAGGTACCAGAGATGTATTCATTTGCTCAAACATTGAAACTGCATCTGGAATAACAGCTGCAATTGGTGTTTCTGTCTAGTTAAGTTTATTATAATCAATTGTCCATGATCCATCCGTTTTTCACACAGACCAAATAAGCACATTAAATGGGGGTGTGGTGAGTATCACAATGCTTGCATCTGTCACCTTGCCTATGACATTAATTTCTTCAAGTACTTCAGGAATATGTTGTTGCTTTGGATTACTAGTTTTGTAAGTATTGGCAGTTCTAATAACTTCTAATTGGTTTTTTCCTTACTGTAATAACCCTTACTCTACATGTTAGGATGTGAGTGTGGGATTCTCCTGGTTGCTGTGTCTGTCTGTTTTAAATATACATTCTGGAACTGAGAAGTTATTATAAGATGGGTTCTAGGACCCGTCTGTGAAATGGAATAATAGCCTAACCTCCATACACCCCAGGAGTTCTCATGGTGCATTCTGTAGTGTGTTGCACTAAGGCCTTGAATCTGGCAATTTGAATCTACCAGCTGCTTCATGAGAGACAGATGGGCATTCTCCCCTAATAAAGATTTACAGCCTCAGAAAGCCAGTGGAGGGTTGCTAAGTGTTGAAATTGACTTGGCAACAATGAGTTTGATTTGGTTTTTTGATATGCCTCCACTGACTGATGGACCATTGTGACATGTCCTGTCTCCTGGGATTAGGGTCAATTTAGAGCCTGTGTTCAATAATTTTCCAAAGTCTGATCATTCCTTTTCCTCAATGAACAGCCACTCTCCTAAATAGCCATAGCTCCCTTTGGGGAAGAGTGGGGGAAAGATCACCATTCTTCATTTTTGGCGGTGTAGTGAGGCCCTTTAAGGAGACCCAGCATCCCCTTCATTCAAGAAATTGTGCATCTATGAAATGGTTCTAGCCTGGGAATTGATTGGGTGACCATGACTCTCTGTTTAGGTTAATCAAGTTAGACTGATGTTCACTTCACCTAGAATTCTTCCAGTCATACACATCTAATAATGGGAGCTCTGGTGGCCTAGTGGTGAGAAACTGCACTGCAATCCCCAAAACACACAGTTCAAATCCACCAGCTGCTCCGTGGGAGAAGAATGGGCAGTGTCCTTCTGTGGGATTAACTGCCTCTGAAAACCCTCTGGAGAGGCAGCCATAGGTCTGTTCTAATGCGATGGTACACAACAACAGTAGTAAATATTTAGTACATTTCCCATTGATTTCACTCTTAGGGATACTGTGACTAAGTAGCTAGTACCATAACTCTATCCCCGTCATTGATTTGGATTACTGCTTGACACAGTTGTCCTTTATGGAAACCATGCTAACCTTGCTTTTGTCCATTAAGCACAGCCATCTGGCCTCGACCACCAGCCCCATTGTGATTGTTGTTGTTGTTGTTGTTATGTGCCGTCGAGTCGTTTCCGACTCATAGCGACCCTATGCACAACAGCCCTAAACCCTGCTCTATCCTGCGCCAACCGCACCGCCTCTGATACACCCATCCCGATTACCTCAGTCACCGAATCAATCCATCTCATAGAGGGTCTTCCCCTCCTGCGCTGTCCCTCCACCCTCCCAAGCATGATGTCCCTCTCCAAGGACCCATCCCTCCTGGCAACATGTCCAAAGTATGTCAGACGAAGCCCCAGAATCCTTGCCTCCAAGGAGTAGCTTGGTTTAATCCTCTCCAAGATGAATCTGTTTTCCTGGCAGTCCATGGTACATTCAGTACCCTTCTCCAGCACCACAGCTCAAAAGCATCCACTCTCCTTCTGTCCTCCCTAGTCATTGTCCAACTCTCTGATGCATAACAAGCGATTGCAAATATCATGGCCTGTATCAGGCGCACCTTAGTCTCCAGAGAGACACTGTTGCTCCTGAGTACCTTTGAGAGGTCCCTAACAGCAAACTTTCCCATCGTGATAGACTTTTTGATTTCCTGACTGCTGGTACCAAGAGTGTTAACTGTGGAGCCGAGCAAACTGAAGCTGTGAACAATCTCAATCTCTTCGTCATCCATCCTGACACTGCTAATTGGTCCAGTGGCGAGAATCTTTGTCTTCTTGACATTGAGCCTCAGTCCATACTGAAGGCTGCAGTCCTTGACCCTTCGCAGCAAGTGCATGAGGTCCTCCTCAGTTTCAGCAAGCAGGGTTGTGTCATCTGTATAACGCAGATTGTTAATAGATCTTCCACCAATCCTGATGCCACAATTCTCCTCATAGAGCCCAGCCTCTCAGATAATCTGCTCTGCATACATGTTGAAAAGGTATGGAGACAGGATGAATCCCTGGCGTACACCCTTCCCAATTTTGAACCATGCAGTGTTGCCTTGCTCTGTTCTGACTACTGCCTCTTGGTCCAAGTATAGGTTTCGTATTAGCACAATTAAATGTTCTGGGATTCCCATTCTTCTCAGAGTCAGCCACAGTTTGTTATGATCCACACAGTCAAATGCCTTTGCATAATCAATGAAACACAGACATTCTTCTGGTATTCTCTGCTTTCAGCCAAGATCCACCTAACATCAGAGGAATTTAAGGAAATAACATATGAGCAAGAGCCTATGGTGATGAAGGAAGAAGTTCAAGCTGCTTTGAAGGAAATAGCAAAAAATAGGGCCCCAGGAATAGATGGTATACCAATTGAAGTATTTCAGATAACAGATGTTGCCCTGGATGTGCTCACCAAGTTGTGCCAAGAAATCTGGAGAACAACCACTTGGCCAACTGACTGGAAGAGATCTATATTTGTTCCCATTCCAAAGAAAGGTGACCCAACTGAGTGTGGAAACTACAGAACAGTGTCCTTGATTTCACATGCAAGCAAGATTCTACTGAAGATCATCCAAAAACGATTAGAACAGCACATCAGCAGAGAACTGCTGGAAGTCCAGGCTGGGTTTAGAAGGGGTCGTGGTACTAGGGATATTGTTGCTGATGTTAGGTGGATCTTGGCTGAAAGCAGAGAATACCATTGTGATTAGGTATCTTAATTCAACAAGGGCACTTATCTTGTCAAATCTTGCGTGTATAACATGGCAGTTAGAGCAGACTTAATGATACTGGGACTTCCCTCAAAATCTGCTTCATATGTTGGTGTTAAAGGTGTATATCCTCTGGGTACTCCATATGTAGTTCTGTAGGACTGACATGATAAATCTGCTCTAACATAACCTAAAGTATTGCAAGGTAGTATTTCAGCTACACTTAGTGTAGACCACCACATAATGAATGTTTCAGTGAATCAACTCTGATTTTTTCTTAACTTCTAGAGCTGGAATATTGAAAGAACATGTGCTTAGTGAGCCCAAATCAATTAACTCAGGCTAATCCCGTTTTATGGTTTTACACCGTTATCTCATGTTCTTAATAACCATTTCCATGCATATTCTAAGCTTTCTGTTTGTACTAATTACAAAAGTCAAGAAGTTCTTTTGGAATGTGTATACCATCTTCCTGGATTATAATCTGTACTTCAGCTTTTGAGGCTTGCTCATATTTAACTCTAGATATCATTCTTGAAGCAAAAGTAGATTGTGAGGATCATTTCTGGGAACAATCAGTAATGTCTTGTAAGGCACCTGCCTCAAGAAATGACTCAGGTCATAAATACCTAGGCTCTGGCCCAGGTGAATCCTCTGACAGGCTCATTAAATACCGTTGTATTAACTTCATCAGATGGGTGTTAAGAGACCTGATTCTAAAGAAGGAAGGAGAGGCGCTCTGGTGGCCTAGTGGCAAGAAAAGAGAGGTATTTTGCTTCTTGAGAGAACTCAGCCTCTCTCTCTCTCTCTCTCTCTTTCTTTCTCTCTCTCTCTCTCTTTCTCTGTCTCTCTCTCTGTCTCTCTCTCTCTGTCTCTCTCTCTCTCT